AAATTCGTCTGCGCCCTGCAGCCGAGACGGGGTGGGGAGCGCCGGCTGTACCAGTGTAACCGGTTCGGCCGATCTCTGCCCCGCTCTGGGGTTTTTTGGCTGTGTGCAGGGCATCTAGTTTCTTTACCTCCCTCCCCGAGTGTGCTGAATCTTCATTTTTCTTTTTTTTTTTTCCCCCCCTTCTCCCTGGGGCAGATGCGAGAACATCAAATTCCAGGAGCCCGAGATGGTGCCGGTGGACGTGGGGAAAAAATACCGCAACTACTTTCTGCAGGACGTGGTGATGAGGAAGATGGAGAAAGTCTTCAGTAAAGTCCCTCAAGGTGAGCGAGACCCGGCTCCTCTGCCCTGAGGAGGGGAAAAATCTTGGGATTGGGGATCTGTGGGGAGATAGAAGTGACCAGCGACCCCCTGACATCCCTGTCTCCCTCCCAGCTGACGTGACCCTGGACCCCGACACAGCCCACCCTCGCCTGAGCCTCTCCCTGGACCGACGCAGCGTCAAGCTGGGCGAACGCCGCCAGGATCTGCCGGACAACCCCAAACGTTTCGATTCGGATTATTGCGTGCTGGGTTCCCAGGGCTTCACCACCGGCCGTCACTACTGGGAGGTGGAGGTGGGAGGCCGACGAGGCTGGGCGGTGGGCGCAGCCCGCGAAACGGCTCGCCGCAAAGAGAAAACCGTGGGGCCTCACCAAAAACGGGAAATTTGGTGCGTGGGCACCAACGGGAAGAAGTACCAGGCGTTGACGGCCACGGAGCAGACGGCCCTGTCGCCCAGCGAACGGCCCCGCCGCTTCGGCGTCTACCTGGACTACGAGCGGGGCCAGCTCTGCTTCTACAACGCCGAGAGCATGACCCACATCCACACCTTCAACGCCTCCTTCCACGAGCGCATCTTCCCGTTCTTTCGCATCTTGGCCAAGGGCACCCGCATCAAAATCTGTGCCTGACCGGCCGTCCCTCGCCCTCCCCGCCGGCCGCCTCCACCCACACCGGGCCCGGCCTCGCCCTGGGATCCGGCCTTGCACACGGCCACGCTCTTTTCCCCGCTGCCCGTAATCCCTCGGATCCCATTTTGGGATCCAGCGCTGCACTTGTCTTCTTGCACCTGCTTGCTCACGAGGCCTCCTTCCCTCCGCCTCCTGATCCCGCGATCTCGCCGGCGCCACGCTGATCCCAAGCTGGTTTTGTTTGGAATGGGGAAGGATCCGCCTCGGAGGCGTTTTCACTTTGGCTCTTGCTCCTCTCTCCCTTTTCCCTGAAGTTTTCCAGCGCGCTCTCCGCCCGCATCGTGCCCGCGGTTCGAGCGTCGAGGCGCGCTCTTCGGGCGCGGAGCTGGAGCCCGACGGCTCCTGGCAGGGGGAGGATCTGGACGTCGGGGAGCGAGTGCTCTCGGCTTCCTCAAACTCCTGTCTTCTTCCCCCAAAACCATTGGCTTTCGTCTCCCGGTTGCGCCAAGGAGCCGGGATTTCTTGGGATTCACCTGAGCATCTTCAGACCCCAGCTGGCATTTGGACCCGGAGCCAAACCCGTTCTAACCTGCGATGTTCTCCTGTTCTTTCCTCGCTTTCCCCATCATTTTGGGGGGGGAGAAACCCCCCCAGTTCCCTTCGTAACCATTTCTTGTGGGCCTGGCACTTTATTCGGGGCCGAGGAGGGTGCGAAGAGCTGGTTTCCTCCTCCAGAGCCGGCATGTCCCGGCCGCGGGGGTAGGCACCGGCCTCCTGTTTTCCCCTTGCAGCTTGAGAGCTCTCCGAGATGGGGAATATTTATTTTCTCTCCCTTTTTTGTTGTTTTCTTCTCAGCTGCTGTTGAGTTTCCAGCTGAATCCTGTCCCACTCGAGAGACTCTGACCGCACTGGTTGTGTTTTATTCTTCTTTTTTGTTGGTGGATTGGTATTATTATTTTTTTTTTCCTGTTGGCATTACAGAGCTAGTTCAAAATATTTTTGGCTAAAATAAGAATTAAATGGAGATTTAGTTTTATGAAATGTCAAGAATTAAAAATAATAAAGAATAAGGTTGTAAACCCGAGTCTCTGGCTTATTGAGATCCTGGTGGAAGCTTGAAAGATCTGGAACCGCATCACCTGTGAGCCTTTTGCTAAATGGATGTGCTTTAAATCTCACCTCGTTAATCTTGACCTAATCCTTCCTAATTAGATTAGCTCAGGCCCAAAGCTGCATGTCCCTATGCCTTCCCGAAACAGCTGACTTGCTCTTATCCAACAGCAGAGCTGGTGTCACCGAGGGACCAAGGTCCCTCCTGGCTCGGTGACACGGTACTGCCAGCCAGGAAAAAAGCGGGGAGGGGGGAAAAAAAAAGTCCTGAATTTATAGAAAACAGCTGTCTGTGCACAGGCTCACTCCCTGGAGGCTGCCGGCATTAAAACCTCTCTTTGGCTCTGAAAATCCCCGGTGGGCAACGAGGCCCGAAGGCCTTGCTTTTGTAACGGCCGCTGCACCCTGAATTTACCCACTTTCTGGTTTTCCAGGGAATTTTGCTTTTTGTTTTTGCCACCCAGTCTGCAGGTCTTCGGCAGCGACAGCACATGCTGGGAGGAGGAGCCCCTCGCCAGGACAGAGATCATCTTCCAAGTCCCACCACGCTGCCTGCTGTCACGTAATTATTTCCCTTTTTATCCCTTTTCCGCAGGGCGGCTTCCGACTCGCGCGACGGTCGTCTCCCGCGGCTCAGCCCCCAGCCCTGTCCCACCACGATGTCCCCAACCCTGAAGGCGTGGCGACAACTTCTGGTGGATGTAAAGCCCCTCCCCGCCAGGGATGGGGGCTTTTCGCCTCTCCCTTAAGGTTCCAGATGTGGCACCGGTCTCCAGCCGGAGTAAAGCTCCAACCCCAGGTCCTCCACGCACCTCTGGGTTGGGGGATGACGCAGGAGTGGCCATGAGCTCGATAGAGCGCTCTTTTTTTATTGATTTTCTTTTTGTACACAAAAAAAATCTACGGTTTCTCGCTACCACGTCCTCATCTGGTCCCGATGGTGACTTGCCACACCCGGACGAGGTTATCCGTGTAGCCGGCGAACAGGGTCTACGGAGAGAAACGGAATTGGGTCACGGGAAGGGTTGGGTGGCCGAGGAGGTGGGACCTCAGGAGACGAGGACAAGGGACTACGGTCCCGGAGGGCGAAGCCCAAAGCAGAGAGGGACCAGGATCGGCCCCAGGTGTTGGGGAAGAGAAAGGAGAAGAGCTTGAAGGGACCCAGGGAAGGTCTTTCCCTTGGCAGCAAAGGCGGCTCCGGGAGCAGAGCACAAGTGTCTGGGGGGGCTCCCAGAGGGTCCCCCAAATCCCCGTTCCCCAGGCTGGGATGCTGGGAGAGGGAGAAGGGGATGGTTTCCTACCTGCCCGTCTGCGGACCAGGCCAGGGAAGTGCACTGGGGTGGTTCAGCTTTGCTGCTGGTGCTGATCACTTCCTGCTTCAGCTCGTCCACGATGATTTTGCCTTCCAGGTCCTGCAGGAGAAAAGAAGGTGGTGAATGAAGCAAGGGGTCCTGCAAGGGAAGACTCCCACCACCGAATCCAACCCAACTCCGGAATGCTGTGAGGGAACGGAGGGTCGCTCAGAAACAGCCTCTGGATTTCCGCAGAGATGCAGTCAGATGGCATCGATGTGTTTCATCACGGCGCGGTGGCTCTGCCCTGTGGCCACCACAGCCCTCCTCGGCCGGCGGACGAGGCCACAGGCCCCCAGTCCCTGCTGCGTGACGTGACCCGCCCCGGCGAGGACGCTCCTCCAGCAGAGCTCCTCCTCCTGAGATCTGCGACCCAAAGTGAGGATCTCGACCGTGACGGGGACCCCAAACCCAGCACAAGCTGAAGAAAATTAGTCTTCTAGTGGAACCCTGCCCAGACGGGGACGTACCCAGATCTTGATGCTGGGTCCGGTGGCAGCACACAGCCAGTAGCGGTTGGGGCTGAAGCACAGGGCGTTGATGATGTCTCCTCCGTCCAGGGTGTAGAGGTGTTTGCCTTCGTTCAGGTCCCACAGCATGGCCTGGCCGTCCTGTGGGGCAGGAGTCGTCAGGGAAAACCCCCGAGGGGCCTTTTTCCACCCCCACCACGATTAAGCTGGAGCACTTCTACTGCAAACCAGCGTGGACATGAAAAAGTTAAAGGACACAGCAGGACAATTAAAAAAAAAAAAAGACATCAAGGGGTGAGAGAGAGCTAAAGAAGGTCCCTGGAGCTGGGTGAGCATCTTTGCCGCGGTCTTCCCTCCCTGCTTGACATCTGCTTAGTAGGACCATCAGCCCAGGCCTGATCTTCGGGCCATCACCACCCCACTCAAGCCCGTTCTCAGGGTGGGAGAGACAGAAATGAGCCAGAACTGCTCAGAGGATGCCAAGATCTCACCTCGCAGCCCCAGTCTTCCCCCCCCAGCCCCATACCTTGCCACCGGAGGCACAGAGGGAGCCATCAGGGGAGACTGTCACCGTGTTCAGGTAGCCCGTGTGCCCGATGTGGTTAGTCTTCAGCTTGCAGTTAGCCAAATTCCAAACCTGAGTGGGGGAAAAACACGGGCATAGAAGGGGATTAAATGCTGCTACTGCACCCCCATTCTGGGGATAGAGGAGGGGAAAAACACCCTTCCCCGGAGCACTCTGTCTGCTCCAGTCCTCCCCCCGCCGTTGCAGATGAGCTGGGGGAAGCAGATCCCACCTCACCTTCACCAGCTTGTCCCAGCCGCAGGAGACGATGATGGGGTTGCTGCTGTTCGGGGAGAAACGCACGCACGACACCCATTCCGAGTGACTCTCGTCCTGGGGAAGAGGAACGACGCCGGGTTCACAGCGAGGAAACGCGGCCGGGTCTTCCCCACCCCATCCACGGGGCGCTGCAAGATCAGACCTGCCGCATCCCGTCGCTCTGAAGCTTTCCCAAGCCTCCCCTCCTCATCCCCCATCCCTCATAATTGCAGGACTTGTCCTCAAACCACCCCCAGGGAGAAGGCAGCAGCCAACAACTCGCTTCTCATCATTAGGACAGGGCTGGGGGACCTGGATTCTCCATCAAAAACGGTGGGAATGGACCTAAAACCAAGTCCACGGAACTCCCTTCTCATGGAGGTGTGACATGGAAGCCCACCTTCCCCGGCTCACCTGCACTGTGTACTTGCAGACACCCAAGGTGTTCCAGAGCTTGATGGTCTTGTCCCTGGAGCCTGAAACGATCTGGCGGTTGTCGGAGGAGAAAGCCACGCTCAGGACGTCCTTGGTGTGGCCCACAAAGCGACGGGTGGTGGTGCCGCTGCGAGAAGAGGGAGAGAATGGGAGATCTCGTAGAGAAATTCCACCAAGGAGCAGGAAAAATTCAAATATCTGAAGGAAAAAGGAACACAGAGTGGTCCTGGAAGGCTAAGGAGCGGTGGTTCCCTTTTTCCTTCAAAAGAACTTGGGAGAAGGATAGGGGGAATGGGGGTGAGTTTATCCCACGTGCATGCCTGGCTCTGCAAGTCTTGACCCTCTTCTCCTGGCTGTACCCCCAATTCAGCCCAAAATGACCCCAAAATAAGAGCCAGGGCCCCATCCCCCCTGCTTCTCCAATGCTTCTCTCCCATCATCATTGCAGGACGTGTCTTCAGATCCCGGAGGATCAGCAGACTTTGTCAGATCTAATCATCGGGAGAGGGAGCCGAGGAAGAGCCACCAACACCTCAATTCCCACCTCCGTTCCAGATCGTGGCACTGGCTGCAGAAACTCACCCCTGCTGGGATTTATCTTCCAACTCAAGAGCAAATCATCCCGTTTTCAAGGTGCGTTGATGACCTCATCCCCCCCTCCCAGCGTCCAAGCGAAGCAGGGAGACGTGCTACGGATCCCCACCCACCCAAAGCACCCCTGGCCCTGCCACGTCCCCCCGGCTCACGTGGTGAGGTCCCAGAGGCGCAGGGTGCCGTCCCAGGAGCCCGAGAGAGCAAACTGCCCGTCGG